CGGAGCCACCGACCTTATCCTGCCTCTTCTAGGTCAGGGTCATGATCTGTCAGTGTCCACATCGTTATTTGGCCACGAAAGCTGGGACTCATCCTTGACACCTTTCTTTTTCGTCCAATCTAGGTCTTCACCTCCTTTCCACCTCCCGGTTTCCTTCCACCACTCACTGAACCAAGTGCCCATCATCTCTCGCCAGAACTGGTGCTTTTTTAAAAAATATATTTTACTGACTTTAGAGGAAGAGAGAGGGATAGAGAGTTAGAAACATAGATGAGAGAGAAACATCGATCAGCTGCCTCTTCCGCAACCAAGGTACATGCCCTTGAACGGAATCGAACCCTGGACCTTTCAGTTTGCAGGCCCATGCTCTATCCATTGAGCCAAACCGGTTTCGGCAGTACTGGTGCTCTTGTCTGGACTCCCTACTTCCAGGCTTCGCCCCTTCTCCTCTTAATCCTTTCTCAGGTGGTAGGTAGCCTTGATAATATTTCCCAACCCCGTTTTCACCCCCTTTTGACATCTCTCAATACCCTTCCAAACTCTGAGCATGGCCCACCGGGCCCTAAAAGGCCTGGTTCTTTCTGCCTTCCTGGCACCGCCTTCCTTCTCTGTATGCTCCAGCTACACTTTCTGTGCTCATCATGAGCCTTTGCGAATGCTGCTGCCCTTCTGCCTTGGTAACGGGCTCCTGCTCCTTCAGATCTCAGCTTTAGCGTTGTTTTCACCCTCCCTGACCTCCCTGAGCAGGCCAGATCCCCTTATTGCTGACTCTCCCAGCACCCCGTACTTCTCCTTTATGATCTGTCATAGTTACCACCCCCGCCCCCCTGCTGCAGTTTTGCTTTCCACAGTTTCAGTTAGTTACCTGCGGTCAACTGTGGTTCAAAAATATGAAGTGGGAAATTCCAGAAGTAAACAATTCATGAGTTTTAAAACGCATGCCATTCTGAGTAGCCACCCTGCTTTGTCCGCATGGGGTATGAATCCTCCCTTTGTCCAGCATATCCATGCTGTATGTGCCGCCCGCTCATTAGTCACTTCGCAGTCTGTTAGATCGACTGTCATGGCCTCACAGTGCTCGTGTTCAAGTGGTCTTTATTTTACTTCATGGCCACGAGAGTGGTGATGCTGGCAATTTAGATATGCCAAAGGGAAGTTGTAAAGTGCTTCCTTTAAGTGAAAAGGTGAAAGTGTATGATTTAATAAGAAAAAAAAAAAATCCTATGCTGAGGTTGCTGAGATCTACAGTAAGAACTAACCTGCCTGTGAATCTCTGAAGGAAAACGAAATTGGTGCTAGTTTGCTGATAAGAGACAACATTTATGATAATTATTCTATTTTATTAGTTATTGTTGTTAATCTCTTACTGTTCCTAGTTTATACTTATCATAGGTGTATGTATAGGAAAAACATAGAATATACAGAGTTCAGTATATCTGTGGTTTTAGGCATCCACTGGGGTCCTGGAATGACTACTGTAATTATAATCGTCCATTTATTTGTAACATTATTTAATTAATGTTTGTTTCTCCCACTAGACTGTAAATTCCATGAGGATAAGGACTACATCAATTTTTGCTCACTTGTAAATCTCCAGCATCCATGTGCCTGACGCACAGTAGGTGCTCAGTATTCCTTGAATAAATAAATGTTGCATGTTGCACACTTCAGTGTTTCCTGAGCCCAAGCTTGTATCATCTCCTGTCTGAGCTCAGCAATCACTTTTAACTGATCTCCCAGTTTACAGTCAAGTCCCTACTGGTTTTCTAGCCAACAGCCAGAATGGCCTAATAAAGACGCTAATCTGACTATGTCACCCTTCCCACCCCCTTTTTAATAGCCCTCAGTGGCTTCCCGTGACTCTTGGGATAAATTCCAAACTACTGGCGCAGCCTTACAAGGCCTTGTATGGTCTGGCTCACCTCATGCCCAGCTCCAACTCCCCGACAAACCTTTCTTAATTCCAGGAATATTGAGAGCTGTTTTCCCAGGCGCCGAGGAGTCAATGGTGAGTGACAGCACGCTCCTTCAGGTCTTACAGCCTCCAGATCTGAACACAACTCCTCTCCATGCAGGACCTTTGCACATGCTTTCCCCTCATCTGCAAAGTGCTTCTCTCTCCTTTTTGTCCCGACTTTGTCCCAGCAAACTATCAGATAACCGGTCAAACACCATCTATTCAGGGGTAGCTGATTTGACCCCCAACGTAGTTAGTTCCCCAAGTTAAGATGCTTTTACTGCTCCTTATAGTCCACCTCATAGCCCTGACCACATTTTTATTTTCACGTTTGTGCGGTGATGGCCATCTTCCCCACCAGGGAGCTTCTGTCTGGTTTTCACTTCCCATCACATCTTAGCTGATACTTAGCTGGTCCTCCACAATTTATTGAATGAATTAATGACTGATTCCCTTGCAGAGTATTCAGAGGGTGTTGCCTTCAGGGACCTGTTGGTGCCTCAGCCTCATTGTGAACATAAGCTGGGGGCTGGGAGGGGTGAGGAAAGGACCTCGCACCGAGGAGAGGCTCCTAGAAGCTGTTCTGTTAGTCCTTTCCCTGCCCCTCCTCATCCCCAACACCTGTGACTTGGCCCCACTTTCCTCTCCTCCCCCACCCATCTCTGCCTTGTTCTTGAAGCCACACTTACCCCTCCAGGGCTTCCTACATACTGAGCCCTCTACCTGCAACTCTCCTCCCTGCTCTTTCACATGGCGGGTTCCTCCACATCCTGCAGGTCAAGTTTAATGCTGCATCTGTAGAGGACACCTTCACTGTAGCTCCCAATGGAAGCACATTTATATACTTATTGTCTGTGTCCCTAGATGCATTAGCTTTTGACCACACATCACAGAAAATCCAACTCCATTGGCTTAAAGAAGGAAGCTGTGTAGGGGTAGGGCTGCTTTTGAGGTTGGTTAACTCAATGATGTCCTCTCGGATCTAGGTTCTTCCCCTCTTGCTGCTGGCTATGTCCTCAGGTTGGTTAGCAAGATGGATGGAGCAATTCCAGGCACCATAGTCCGACCTCATATCAGACAAGCAGGGTTTTCCCATCATTATGCGTCTCAGTTGTCACTTGCTGTGTAAGAAATTATCACAAAACTTATCAGTTTAAAACAACCTTTATTATCTGTTTCTGAGGGTTAGAAACCCAGGAGTGGCTTAGCTGGCTGGTTCTAGCGGAGGGTCTCTCAGGAGGTTATTGATGAGCTGTGGGCCAGGGCTGAAGTCATCTGAAGGATTAACCGGGGCTGGAGAACCCACTTCCAAGCTTATTCACGTGGCCATTGGCAGGGGCTTCCGTCCCTTGATCAGGTTTCTCCATTAGCTGCCCATATGCACCAACTGCCTTCCTCCAGAGGGAGTGATCCAAGAGCGACAGCCACCAAGACAGAAGCTGCGGTGCGGTGTCTTTAGTGACCAAATGTTGGATGGGACACGCCATCACTTCTGTTGTATTCTGTCGGTCACTCAGCCCAACACTGGTACAGCATGGAAGGGACCACACAGGGCGAACACTAGGAGGCAGGGACACTGAAGGGCCGACCGAGGCTGACTGCCGTGGCATCTTTTTTAAAAGCGAGGAAGGCCTGGCTGGGTTAGCCCAGTGGATAGGGCGCCAGGGTCCAGGTTCAATTCTGGTCAAGGGCAGGTACCTCGGTTCCAGGCACCTCCCGAACCCCAGGCCCAGGTCAGGGCGTGTGCAGGAGGCAACCAACCAGTGTTTCTCTCACATCGATATTTCTCTCTGTCTTTCCCACTCTCTTCCATTCTCCCTAAAAATCAATGGAAAAAATATCCTTGGGTGAGAATTAAAAAAATAATAAAATAAATAAATAAATAAGTAAAAGCCTCTCCTAGAAGCCCAGAAGGCTTTTCTTTCTTTTTCCTTATTTGGAAGGCTTTTCTGTATAGGTCTGTGGCTGGAACTGTGTCACAGGCCCATACCTAAACCATCACACAGGAGGGGATGGGACCACCAGTTTTGGCTCATTGCAATCAGGATTCACCCTGGGGCTAGGTCCATCTCCCCTGGAGCACAGAGTGGGATCCAGGAGGAAGATGGCCATCTGAACAGAGTCAGGATTCTGTTCGGAATAATGAAGCGGGGATGGGAATGGAGGTCGAGTTGGCAACGCAGTGTCCACGACACTCACCTGCTCCCTGAGAAGAGAGGATACATCTGTTCCACTACTGTATCCCCAGCATGACCCACTGCCTGGCACATGTACGGATATATGTGTACTCTCCCTAAAAACCAATGCGGGGCAGTGTGAGATGAATAAATGAATGAATTCATGACTAAACTGGAGGACCGCTAGGACACTGTCAGGCAGGAGCAGATGTCCCCAGGCCCTGGCTCCTTAAGTTCTTCTTAGAACTCGGAGGTCACCTGCTACCACCCCCACCGCCAGCCCCAAGGATAGACAGGACTGGCAGGATTATTCTCACTTTATTTCTGGAGAAGTTTGATCAGATGCAATAACACTGATTCCAGGCGAGGGCAGGGGCATGGGGACCCCTAAAGCAACCAGCATCCTGTGGCCCAAGGTGCTCCCCATCCCCAAACCTGGGCTCCCCCTCAGTTTCAGTTAAATAGAGAGGAAGACTCCCCAGGGAGTCTTGGGAGGGTCTGCCTCCTGCACCCGCCCCCTCCAGGCAGAGGAGTCTGAGCACAAGCTATTTACAGTATTCACATCCACTGTACCCCACCGAACCAAGGCAAATACTACAGGCGGCCCTTCCCCACGGAAGGAGGCCGGAGAGGCTGTGAGTGTATGTGTGTGTGGGAGGTTTCCGCGCGTGTGAGCACTCAAATGCACTGCGGGGCAGGGCCTGGCTCCGGCCAGAGACCACAGTCTATAAGGTGCTGATTAAAAATAACAGAGGACCCACCCCCAGGGGCCCAGGCCACTTCCGGCTTTGTTCTGTTTCTTTCCGACATCCCGGTAGACGATGCAGAGGAGCCCTCATAGCTGTGCCTGGATCCAAGGCAACCCCTTAAAGGACTTCTGGGGGGAAAGCGGGAAGAGAGACAGTCAGGCAAGCTATGCCTCCAAGCCAGGCCAGCGGGGCGGGGGGCACGTGGGTGTGAGAAGGCCTCTGGCAGGGCTGGAACGGAGGGGGAGCTCTGGGAAGGCTCCTGGGAGGGAAGGCTGTGGGCCTGGGAGGCAGGGGTCCCTACCTGTGACCTGTGGGGGCTGCACCACAGCTTTCTTGAGGAAGGCTTCTGCCTCTGCGAAAGGCAGGAGTGCCTCTGCCGTTCGGCCCAGGCTCTTTTCGCCAGAGGGTCCCTTGGGGGAGGAGAAGCCATTCTCCTGGGGTGCCGGGGGAGGCTGCAGGCCGTTCACCAGGGACTCCTTGTTAGGCAGGCTGCGGATGCAGGAACACACTCAGGCAACTCACATCCCAGGACAGCCCAGGCACTCCCCCAGCTCCAGCCTGCCCCCGACTGCCTGCCAGGACCCCGGGATGGGGAGCTGTACCTCCACTGAGGCTCCTGGGGGGCCAGCTCCTCTTTCTGCACAGCGTCCTTCTGCAGCTCTGAGGGCCGGGAGTCTTCGGCTCTGACAGTGTCTATCACAGGGAAGGAAAGGCCGTCAGCTGCTGGCTGGTGAGAGGGGGATATGATGATGGGGTGGGGAAAGGGACAGAGGGGGACAGGGCCTTTACCTGGGCTACCACTGTTGGTGTTTGCCTCCTTTCTTTCCAGCTTTTGCTGTGAAGAGGAAGAGCAATCAGACTCAGGTGTATCTGATCCCGCCTGACTGAGGTGCTGAATTCTTCCCTCCCCCAGCCGAGACCCTGAGCAGCCTGCCTCAGCCTCCTTCCTCCACCCTGAATGCTCTTCCCCAGCCTCCTCCTCACCGACCCCCACTCCCAACGCTGCCCTTTGGGGAGCCCTGACCTTGGCTTCAGCAGCTTCTGACTTCCGAGTCCTCTTCATGATCTCCTCCAGACGCTGTTTGGAAGCCCCACATCGGTTAGGCCCAAGAGCCGCCCCAATCCTAAACCTCCCGCCATCCAGCCCCAGGCCTGGGGTCTCAGGGCCCTTCCAGCTCATACCAGTCCTTTACACGCCAGAAAGGAGAGCTCACCCCAATACCCTCGTGTCCTACCTTTTACAAGTCCAAGGCAGCTCCCACTTCCCTAACCCACTAATTCCGTTAACCCAAACAGGCACTGGGCCCAGAAAGGCTCCGCCCCGTGGAGCCCCGCCCACCGGGGCCATGGCTCCGCCTCCAATACCTTTTTGCGCTCCTGCCGCTCCTGCTCCTCGCGCTGGAAGTGCTTTTCCCGCTCCAGACGCTGCCGTTCTGCCTCCTCCCGGGACCGGGCTTCGGCCTCCTCTTTCTGCCAAAGACCGCAGTGAGCTTTCGGCGGCTGGACCCCAGCCTTCCTCCCAGGCCAGGCCGTGGCCCACCAGCAGGAGGCGCCCACGCCCAGCCCCGCCCCGCCCGTCTGTCCAGGCACCTGCTTCTGCAGCCGCTCCTGCTCCTCCAGCTCCGCCTGCGCCTTCTCCCGGGCCTCCTGCTCTTCCCGCCGCCGGGCCTCGGCCTCCCTCTCAGCCCGGGCCTCGGCCTCCCGAGCCAGCTGCTCCTCTCGCATTCGCCTGGGGGAGAAGGAAATTCGTGCTGGGTCCGCGCTCCTTTAGCAGCTTCCATAGGGGTCCCCTCCACCCGCCTCCGCCCCGCGATGCACGCACTTGTCCCTTTCTGCCTGCAGCCGCCGCTCCTGCTCCTCGCGCTCCCGCTGCTCCCGGGCCTGGCGCCGCTTCTCGGCCAGGAGCCGAGTAGCCTCTTCGCGGTCTGTGGTGCCGGCCATGGGTTTGCTGGGAGTCACTGGGGGAGCAGGGGCTGGGGGGGCCGGGGCTGGGGGTGAGGTCAGGACAGCAGTATCTGGAGTGGAAACAAGGTCCAGGAGTCAGCTCAGGCACCTCCAGCACCCCTGCATGCCTGCTTCCTGGACCTTAGGGTGGCCCATCCGCTCAACGTCTGCCATCAACTTAGACATGAGCTCCTTTTCCCTGCCTGTGCCCCACTGAAGGTCCTATCTTCCAAGTCCCAGTCCACACAAGGCAGGCTGTCTTCCCTGTCTGCCCTGCCCACCTTTCCACCTCCTCCCTTCATGCCCACCTGCAGGGATCTCGGCTGTGGGCTGTTCCTTCTGGGGCGGGGCTGGGGTGGGTGAGGGCACAGGTGAGGGTGCCGGTGAGGCCGGGGCTGCAGGCTCCTTCTCTTCACTGGTCTTGCCCTTGTTCTGGTTCTTGTCCTCGGGTCCTGCCGCGCTGGGGCTCTCCTTTGCCTCATCCTTCCTCCGAACCCGCCCCTTGGGTGATGCAGTGGTGCCTCGAGGGGATGGTGGTTTGGGGGGTAGAGCGTGGTTGGGCCCTGGGCTGGGGCAGGGAGAGGCAGGCCTGTGCCAGGATGTGGAGGGAGAGGATGGCCGGGCCTTGGATTTGGGACTGAGAGGAAAAAAAAGGAAAATGTTAAGCCTGGAGGGCACAGAGTCCACACGTACATATACCCTCCCTGGGGTGTCATTCCTCAGGGAACTGTCCCTTCCAGGCTAGGCCAGCCCCCCGACCTTATATGCTCTCACATAACCATAGTATTTCCTTCGAGAGTATATTTTTTTAGAGAGTATATATCCCCAATTACATATTCTTACATCAATCTGCAGCCTTCTGCACACCCCCTACTGGAGATCAAGCCCACTACTTGGGCATGTGCCCTGACTGGGAATTGAATGGGGGTGCGTGGGACGTGCATGGGATGAGCTCATGCACTGTTCCCCGAACCTCATCAGCCAAGGACTACACATTCATTTGATTAATGTCTGTTTCCCCAGTTGTCAGCAAGATTAATCAGAGCAAGAATGAGGCGCGGTTTGGCTCACCAAAGTGCCCTTAGCACCCAGAACAGCACCTGGCAGGTTCCTTCGTTCGCTCAGCAGGTACTGGTTGAGAGCTTACCAGGTGCCGGGCACTGTTCTAGGTGCTAAGGTACTTTGGTGATCAGAACGCTCCAAAGGCGGTGCCCACCTGAGCTCAGAGGCCGGGCCAGCAGGGAGGCGAGGGCGTGGGGAGGCAGGCAGTGACTGACGCTTCTTGCTGCGCTCCCGGGCCAGGGCACTCTTCTCCTTCTCATTTTCCCGCTCCTTGTCCTTCTTCTCCTTTTTCTGCACCTAGTGAGGAAGGGCACGGAGAGGGGGAGGCAGGGAACAGAGGTCAGCGGTGCCCACACTCCCGAGCTCGGCTCCCTGTGCCACCGGCATGGCTACTTACCGGGGAGGACTGGGGCCTGCGGCGGGCGGGGGCGGGGCTGCCCATCGAGCTGGGCTTGCGGCGCTCCCCGCGCTCCCCGGAGGAGGGGGTGCAGCGGTGCACGCTGCTGCGGGGGGTGCTGCACGGTGGCATCAGGGGACTGGCAGAGGCCGAGCGCGGGCACACCGGCACGGCTGCAGAAGGATGAGTGCGGTTGGGATGTGGCCCACACGTGAGGCTGGCCACTGCCCGGCCCCTCTCGGGGGCTCTCCCAGGGCCGCTGCCCCTACCCTGGTCCCGGCCATTGCGGGGCAGTGTGACTGCACTGCGGCTCCGTGCCAGGAAGGAGAGGGTGGGCGTCATGAGACGGTCCACGATGCTGCTCTCCCAGGGGCTCAGCTGCAGGCTTCGATCTGGGGGGAGAATGCCAGGAGGAGCTGGTTACCGCAGGGGAGCTGCAGGGCACAGGCAAAAGCCATCCCATGCCAAGCCCACGGAGTCTCCCCGGGAGGGCTCTGTCCTGATCACCCCTGGCCACACTCCTTGCCCTCGAGTCTGACCCCCACTGCAGACCACGGCAACAAGACACTTTCCAGGGCAAAGTGCTGTAGAGCACGAGGGTCTGCTCCCGCCACTCCCACAGATGCAAGGGCCCTGCACTGCGAGCACAGCAAGAAGCCACCAGTACGGGTCCCACCGTGGTGCCCTTTCCCTCCGGCCATCAGAGGGCAGGGGAGGCATGACCCCAAGGATTTGGGACAGTAAAGGGTCCTGTGCTCCTCTGACTCAGGAGAGTCCTAACTGACAGGGTGAGGCTGCGAGGAGGTCTGGCTGCCCTGGGCCACCCTCCTCTGTCCCCTCAGCTGCTGAGATATTTTTAAGTCTCAGTCAGGTGGGTTTGGTACAACAGCTGATTTGGTTGCTAGGCAACAGAGCAACCAAATAAAAGCTGGAGAAACTTATAAATAGCTCCTCCCATGGCCCTTCACATGTGAGCAGCAGGGCAGTGAGAAGCAGGCGCCGTGCCACTCTGGTGGGCCACAGCTCTGGAGCCAGCCACGGCCATGGCTGGGGTTCTAAGGCAGAGAGGGCAGGGTTGCATGGACCCTCTAGGGTGGAGCCAGAAAAAGGGGTCCCCTCCACACAGCACCCAGGCCAGTCTGGTACCCGGGGGCAAGGCCACCTGCCTGAGGCTGGCCTAGGCCAGCTGGCTGTGGCTGGAGCTGAGGCTGCCTGCCCGTTCCCACCCCCACTCGCACCCCCACCTGCTGTCGAGGCCCTGCCAGGCTCTCTGCCCTTTGTCTCTGTCCTCCTCCCTGCAGGGCACATCTCTGTCCTCAGGGTCCAGACCCAAATGCCGGCTCCCCCGAGGGGCACAGACCCCAGGTGGGGTGGAGTGGGGATGGAGACCTAGAGTATGCGAGGACTCCGGGGACCTGGGCTCTGGCTGAGCTCTGGAGGCTTGTTGGGAGCTACAAGGGACTCTGGAGGGAGCAGGGCTGGGCCTTCTCTTACTTCTACTGGGGGAGTTCCAGAGCGTGGCAGAGGACTTTGAGAGCCGCTTGTTGATAATAGAGTCCACGTGTTTGGGCAGGTTTACTGCCGACACAGAGCACCTGCTCCCACCTAGAGGGGAAAAGACACGGCATTAGGGCCGGGCCACACGGGAGCCGGGCACACTGGGCCGTCCATGCAGGATGCTCCGCGGGCAGGTGGGAAGGGAGGAGTGGGCAGGCTGGGAAGGGGAGGAGGCAGACTTGGCTCTGGGAGGAGAGGTGGGTAGGTGATCAGGGACAACCTGCATTGGGGGAGCCGACGGAGATGGAACAGGAGGAGATGGAGTCAAACTAGAGAAACTACAGATTTCCTGGCCCAGAAGCCATTCCCTAGGGCTGGGCGCTGCGAGCCCTCCCCCACAGCCACCCAGCGCTGCGCTCGCTGACACTGCCCAGCCAAGGCGCTCTGGCCACACACCCACACGCTGGGCCGATGCAGCGACGCTCCTAAACAGAGGATCCCACAGTCACAGTCGTTTGCACAAATCCACATATTCATACGGACACAAGAGACATGCAGGCACAGGCATATTGAGGGATAGGCATTTTTGCATGCACACGTGTGTGCAGACATGCACAGTTATAGAAACACAAACACCGAGAGAGAGAACATGTCAGACCCAGATGCACACAGGCACGAACACATCGAAGCAGCTTAATGATGGCATTTGGAGCGGCCACTTTGTTGGGATGCTTACCATGTACCGAGCACTGTGCTGGACACCACACACATGTTACCTCACTTGATTCTCCCAAACATCTACCTACAACCTCGGAGGCAAGTAGTATTGTTATCCCCATTTTACAGATGAAGGAAGTGAGACATCGAGAAGTTAGAGGTCACACCACAAGTGCCAGGGCTTGGAGTCCTCACCGAGGCCCACAAGGCCATGAACACACCAAGGCAAACATGTTAAGACACACAATGCCCAGATCCAGGAGCACATACACCAAAAGATACACAGCTGGGAACACTGAACCTTGCCATTACATAAAGATATCCAAACATGCCAGCAAAGAACCAGACCAAAATCCATGATGGCCCTACGTGAAGAAAACTCAGAGACAAAAATCTACCCAAGACAGGTACATAAGGGGTTGGGGGGTTGGGGAGTGCAACATTTTAGAAAAATATTCCATGTCTACAGGGCACTAGAGTCCTCTTTTACATATCACCAACCAATAATAACTGTCAGGAGCAGAGAAGGCTAAACCTAAAATGACAGGTTTGATGAGCAAACCAAATGAAGAGAATCCATCTCTGACTGGATAATGGAGGTCCAGGAGAAGGGACAATTTGGTCCCAGACCATTCCAGAAGCCACAAGTCACACGAAGCAAGGCCTACCTGCTGCAGGGAGCTGCCAGTCCTTGCACTGCAGCTGCTCCCTTCCGCCACGCCTCACCCACCCACCCGCCCGCCCACCCCTCAGCCCCTCCAGCCCACTCACTGGTCTTACGTCCTGGGGAGCCGTGGTGCAGGGCCCCTGCCCAGGACCAGCGCTGCTGCCGGATTTCAGCCCACGTTTTCTTCACGGACCGCTGGATGGCTGCTTCATAGCGCTCCTGGCGGGGAGGGCGAGAGAAGGGAAGTCTGGGTTCAAAATCCTTCATCGCACCTGGGAGAAAGAGCCCTCTCTCTCCTGGGACAAGCCCTTCCCCAGGAGTTTTCTCTGACTCACTGCAGGTAACCAAGGTTACCGAATCCTTGCTATGATTAAGGATCATCGGCAGCAGATCCCTTGTTCTTGGGGAGCTTTTCACTGTTCTTGAGTCATTTCCTGAGTGTATGAGCTGTTTCTCCGAGCACAGGGTGCGACTCTCCCTGCCTGGGGCTCCCAGGTGGGGTCACGTCCCCTTGGCACTGCGGGTCCTGACCTTGAGGCAATGTTTCCCTTTCAGCCTGAGGCCGATGGGCAGAGCCAGGCCACACTTCCTCTCCTCACAGACGCTCAAGTCAAGGCTCTCCTCACCTGTGGAGCTCAGCACACTCATCCAGATTCATCTCTACATGCAAGCACACATACACACACGCACGCACGCACGCACGCACGCACACACACACAAATACTGTCTGACAGCACACAGTTACAGGTGCCCACCTTGGCAAGTACTGACCCGACCATGCCTGCTGTTGCACAGATGCTCAGATATCGAGCCCACAGAGACCCAATGACAGGTGTGCACACAGATATAACCATGTAGACAGAGGTGACTCAGAGGCGCAAACACCGATGTGTACGTACACACAGAGCCCGTGCACAGATGTGTGCGCACATGGGCATGCAGACCCAGGCACAGAAGTCAAGGTAAACGCACCTTGTTTTTCTCCAGCTTCTGCCGCTGCCGCTCCTCCAGGGCTGCCCGGCGCTGCTCGGCTTTGAGCCGCTGCTCCTCCAGCCGCCGCCGGCGCTCCTGCAGCTGCTTCTCCCGCAGGGCCTTGGCCTTCTCCTCCTTCTCCAGCCACACTGCCTTCTTGGCCGCTGTGGGAAAGGGGCCCGAGGGGCGTGAGGGATTCTGCAGGAGGAGGACCTTCCTGGGTGGGTCTTGCTCCTGCCTGCTTTTGGGGAGGTGCCTCTGCGCTCAGACTCCCCCTCAAATTAAAGGGTTGCTGCTGGCGGGCTCAGGCCTCGGAATGGGAGGCCTGGTTCTCCCCCACTGGCCTCACAGTCACTTGAGAACAACTGAGTTCTTTAGTGCCAGACCCATCTGACTTTGGGGCCCATTGGGCTGATTTCCGTGGGTGGGCTGTGACTGAAAGCATGAGCCTCTGGTCTGAATCTTGGGTACTCCGTGAGCTATTATATATGACTTCATCTCTCTGAGCCTCAGTTTCCTCGTCCTCAAAATGGGTTGAGAACACCAGCTGGGATCATCCAGGTACTGCTCTCAGCACAGTCCACATAATTAAGTGTCCACAGTGTTAATGTTAACAGGGCGTTAATGATGATGATGATGATGTTGAGGAAGATGATGTTCCCTAAACACTCACCCAGGTACTTGGCCCTCTCTTCTCGCCGCTCCTTTGCCAGTTTGTGTCTCTCTCCTGCCTTCTTCGCATCTTAGTAGAGGGAACAAGAATAGATTTAGATCAAGTGGCTCTCCCAAAGGGGAGTCAGCCTCGGGGACCCTCCCCACAGGGTCTCCCCCCATCCCTTTCCCCATCTCCTCCAGGGTGTCAGTAGGGCTGGAACCCTGAGCTAACGGGACTGGGCCAGGACTAAGGACGTCACACACACCTTGCTTGGCAGAGGGGCTGTCGGAGGCTGGCCCTGCCGTCGGGGACGGCTGGCTGCTCCTTCGAGGAGGCCTGGAATCCCGTGGGCCTGTGGCTGGTGGGGTGGGTCCCCTGGTCTTCGCCTCTGAGAAAGGGGACTCTTCCTTCTGGGGGGCTGGTCTAGGCCCGACCGGCCCTGAGGGGCTCTCTGGTTCCAGTGGGAGCTGCTTAGAGCTAGTGGCATTCTTCATGGCGGGAGGGGTGTCCGGGGGAGTGTCGGGCACCAGGGCTGACGTCGGTGGCGGTGGCGGCGGCGGAGAGGGGTCACCTTCCGGAGAAGGTCTTGGCTCTGGGGGCGTCCTGGCTGCCATAGCTGGGACACCAACACAAGAGAGGAGAGTCAGACAGCACATCTGCACCATCACTTCAATTCGGAGCTCTTTCCTGGCCCAGCCGACTTGTTCATTCGTTCACCCAACGCGTTCACTGAGTTCCTTCTGTGTACCAGGCCCTGTTCCAGACACTAATGATATAATGGTGAGAAAACAGCCACGGTCCCACCCTGCAGCAGGGCGGACAGAGAGCCAGGCAGTGACAGTAGAGAATAGGACTCTGTCGGGGGGGACAGAGCAGAGATGGTTAGCCTACATTTGGGGGTTTCCGGAAGAAGTAACAGTGAAGCTGAGCTCTGAAGGATGAGCTGGAGTTGGCAGAATCAGGAGGAGAGGGTTCTGGCAGAAAGAGCGTTTGCCGAGGGGCAGAAGGGAGCAGGCTGTGCTGGAAAAACTGAGGAGCCTGCCCAGGTGGCTCGGTTGGTTTGAGTGTCGTCCCGATACACCAAGGTTGTGGGTTTGATCCCCAGCCAGGGCGCATACAGTAATCAACCAATTAATACGGAGGTAAGTGGAACAACACAGCGACGTTTCTCTTTCTTTCCCTCCCCCTTCTTCACTCTCTAAAATAAAAATTTAAAAATACCACAAACAACAAAAAAGCCACCTGAGAGGTTTGTAGCACTTTTTGACGCACCACGTCTGCCTCCCTCGCCTTTCTGCTTTGCCTCAGGGTCTGGTTCTCAGAGGGTGCCAGTGCTGGGCACATGGGACTGGAGAAGAGGAGGAACACAGCATGGGCACATGTAGGATCCCCAACTGGATGGGCAACCAGCTATGTCCACTTTGTAACCTTCTCTTCTTTTCCAAACACCCTCAGATTTCTTCTTTTAAGACATTAGTGTCTTAGGGACTTAGGAAGATACCAAAGAGCCAAGGCAGGAAGCCACATGACTTGGTATGCACCTGTGTATGCACACATGTGAGCACATGTACACCATGGGGCAGCTGAGGGCCCAATTCTAATGTCACTATCCCAGACAGGACAGGAGGGCCCACTTCCCTGGCAGGTAACCTTGGGCAAGTGAATCAATTACTCTAAGCCTCAGCTTTCATATCTGTAAAATGGGGCAATGATCCCAAGCCGGCAGGGATGTCAGGGAAGTGCCAGGAAACAGAACTTTCCTCCCTTTCCCTGTGGGTCTATACAAAGCTCCCGAAGAGAAGCCTCTGCGTGTGGAGCCCTAGTGCCATCTGCTGCGACTCTGGGCACTGAAGAGACCAGTGGGGGCACAGCAGGGCCATGCGACGGTGAATCTAGGGAAGCATTACTTGCTCCGATTGGGTGCCTTCTCTATACTAGGTCCTCTCTTCTGGGAACTCTGGCCCTTTGAGGAAGTGGCAAACTCCCCATCTTTGTGGGTGGCAATGTGTGTGCAGGGACCCCAAGGTACCGCCTTTGGGATGGGGTGCCTTTTTTTTTTTTAATATATATATATTTTTTATTGATTTTTTATAGAGAGGAAGGGAGAGGGAAAGAGAGCTAGAAACATCGATGAGAGAGAAACATCTATCAGATGCCTCCTGCACACCCCCCACTGGGGATGTGCCCGCAACCAAGATACATGCCCCTGATCGGAATTGAACCTGGGACCTTTCAGTCCGCAGGCCAAAGCTCTATCCACTGAGCCAAACCGGCTCTGGCAAGGGGTGCCTTTTTTAGAGGAGACAGATGTCCAGAGGCTGAGTATGGGCTGTATCGGCAGACTATGTGAATGTGAATTCCGGCTTTCCCACTAACTGTGTGACATTGGGCTATTACATTCCCTCTCTGTGCCACAGCTCCTTCTCCACAAAATGCAGACAGAACCCACCTCACAGGACTGTGAGGAGTGTTAGTGATAAGAACAACCACTAACGCTTATTCAATTCCCAAGGGCTCCCTAAAGTGAAAGCACTTTACACATATTAGTTTAGTCCTCACTGAAAATACTTATGAAGGAGACACTATAAATATCTCTCTTGTACAGAGGAGGCAAGTAAAGCAAAGAGACACTGAGTAAAGTGATTTGAGGTCACAGCTGGTAAGCGATGGAGGCTGGACTTGAACCCAGCCTCTGTCACCAGAATCCATGCTCTTACTCATTTCACCAGCCTGCCTCTGTTTGAGCAGTATGAGGTCATACGTGTTACACAATGGAATTATGTAAGGCTCATACTATTTTCCTCTCATTCCTCCCCTTCTAGCTTCCTGGGCTCCAGGCAAGAGCCTCAGCTGCGGCCTGTCTCCCCAAGAGCCCTGAGACTCCAGGCCAGGCCAGCCAGCACTCCCCATGCCAGCCCCCGGCTGCCTGGTCACCGGCAAACTCCCTTCCAGCTCCAACCAGCAGTACAACTACCGCGGGCCCTGGGAGACAGTAACGTAGTTTCATACAACATGCTTTTGTTATAACATGGATGAGGTACCACAGGAACTTAACTCTTGTTTCTATCAAGTAGCCTATGATAAAACTGGTTTCATTATATGTTGTTTCCCTTAAAGTCAAAGAACCTATTGACGGCGTTGAGGACTTATTGCGGTGGGAACTACTCAGTGAGTGCTTACTACCCACCAGGAGTTGAGCTAGACCCTCTGTTTCTTCATCCTGCATCTTCACATGAACTCTGAGAGGCAGAGATTCTGATCTCCTTACACAAAGGAGACAATCAAAGCTTACCCGCTGAGCAGATTGGCCAGGGTCCTAGAACTAGTACAGGGCAGCATTTGAACCCAGAACTGTTAGGGGCCAAAAGGCCTAAGCTTGTAAACACTGAGCTTGAAGGCTGAGGGTGAGGCCCGTATGTTGCCATTCTCCTAGCGCCTGTGCGTGCTGCAGGTGTTGCAAGGAAAACCCGTAGGCCGAGGTTTGTCTAGACCTAGGCAAATCACACCCACCAGGCAAGACAGAATCTCCACCTAGGTGCTGATAAGCCGCGCAAAGGGAACCTGGGAGGAGGGCGAGAGGGAGGCTTGAACGACCTGGACCTGGTGTCTGACGCAGGGAAGTAGGAAGGTCTTAGAATCGGATAGGCCTGAGTGGGGAATCCTGGCTCCGCTGTGGGACCTGGGGCAAGCCCTGAACCTCAGTTTCCTTGGCAAGTTGCTGGGACCGATGGCGAGTAGTATATCGTGTCTGGCACCTGCCCGATAGAATCTGTCCACTTCTTCCCATCGCTGCCGCTGGAACCCAAGTGGTCAGGCCTCCACTCCCATTGCGCCAAGATACTGCTCTCTCAAGGTCACCAGTGACCTCCGCATTGTTAAATCCACCCTGTCAGCCACCCTAACACGGCGGGTCCTTGCTGCTCCTTGAACACTTCCTTGATTAGGCTTTCCAGACACATCCTCTCCTGATTTTCCCTATCTTGCTGGCTATGACTTTTCAGACTTCTTTGCCGATTCCTCTTTAACTTGCTCACCTCTCGGTGCCCAGTGCCCCGGGCTCAGTGGAGGACCTCATCTCCCCGCTGTCTGCACGCACTCCCTCGGTGACCTCATCCAGACTCACCTCTTTAAATACCGGCTCTCTGCTGACAGCCAAGTTTGCTTCTCCGGCCCAGACCTCTCCCTTGAGTTCCAGTTTCGCTCATGCAACTCCCTGCTTGACACCCCTGGATATCTTACAGACACCCCAAATCCAACACATCCAGAACGGAGTTCCTGGCATTCCCTCCCCTAAACGCCGCTCCTCCCCCAGTCTTCCCCATCTCAGTCAATGGCAACCCTGTCCTTCGAGTTTCTCAGGCCAAAACCCTCGGAGTCATTTTAGAATCTTTTCTTATCTCACATCCCACATCTAATCTCTCAATAAATCTTTTTTGGCTCAATGTGCCAAATACATTCTGAATTCAATCGCTTTTACTGGCTTCACTTCTAGTGTTTCAGAAGTGTTACCAGCCCCTACAAAAGCCCACCCAGGGCTATTCTTTGTTCCCCTTTGGCCATTTCTCAACACAGCAGCGAGTGATTCTGTTTAAAAATAAGTCAGATCAAATCACTCCTCTGCCAACATTCTCCAAGATGCCCCCTCTGCCGGGGAGGAAAAACCAAAGGCGTCACATGGCCTCCAGGGCCTGTCGGGATCCTCCCTCGCCAGCCCATTGCCTCTGAGACCTCGTCTCTTCCTCCTCTTTGCCCCCCGCTCAGTCTGTTCCATCCACTGTTCCTTAACCGTGCCAGGCAAGCTCCTGCCTCAGGGCTATGCACTTGCTCTTCCCTCTGCCAAGAACCCTCTGCCCCGGATTACGCAGGTCTCCCTCCCTCACCTCCCTCTTCAGGTCTGGACTCCAATGTCCCTTCTCCATGGCCTTCCCTGACAAACGGCAGTGGGTGGCTCCTTTCCCCCCAGCAGTACTTCCTTCTTTCCAACTTGATTATTCTCCACAACATTAACACCATTTTAACAGTCTCTTCCATGGGCAGAAGATAATCTCCACGAGGGAACACATTTGTGTCCTAGACCTAAGGCCACAGGACGCTGGCAAACAGGTGCGCCACAGCTGCCCGTTGGATGAATAAACCGATGATCTCCCTGCTGCCAGACAGCACCGGCCTCTCTCTTACCTGGATGGCTGCAAAGTCCCCCACTTCTCTCCTCACCCATCCTCACTCCGCTCTCCATGGAGCAGCCCGGGCAATTGTTCCCAAATGCAAATCTGACCAGGGTGCCCTTGCCACCTGAAACCTCTCAGTGGCTTCCCGCTGCTCTGAAGATAAAGATAAAATTCTTGAACCCAAGCTGCAAGGCTGGCATAGTTTATCGCCAACTATCCCCAACCTTTTGAATCTCCACTCCATGTCACCTACCCACTTGCTCTCTGCACTCCAGCCATACTGACCTTTCAATCCGACAGTCACCCCTGCTCTCTCCAGCCGTGGGGCCTTTGCACATGCTCTTCCTCCTCTTTTCTTTTTTAAAAATATATTTTATTGATTTTTTTTTTAAAGAGAGGAAGGGGGAGGGACAGAGAGCTAGAAACATCGATGAGAGAGAAACATCAA